CTTGGAAACATATTTAAAACCTCAGGTATTCAGAATAAAACTAGAAATCAAAGCAGTGTATGATGCATCCACAATTCCTCATTAGCAGTGAGGATTAGGGCCAATCAAGAAATGTCACAAATGCTACAAAATACCACTGTTTATAGTAATTAAGTTTCATCCCTAATCAACAGAAGGGATATAGTATTCACTTGATGATCCAGAATGACAGCCAGCTTTTCCAGTTAGAGTAAAGGGACCACCTAAAAAGAAACTATACTCACATCCATTTAATTTGCACATTCACTGACATATTATTACTATTGAGGAATTTTCAAGTTAAGTTTACCATATTTATTTTTCTTTGGTTATATTACTAAAGGAAAAGAATCAGCTTTTCCCACGATAAGGACAAAAGGAGTCTCCAAAATGCAAGTCCAGTTGGAGCTAAGAGAAATAGTGTGACAAGACCAACCCCTCAGCAATTTATTTTAATTAATTTTAAAAGGGTCTAATAATCAATATGCTTTTCTAAAGAATAAATCACACTATCATCCCATGTTAAAGGAATAAAATAAAGGGGTGATTTAAAGTCTCAGTAAACATGAAAACTGATTCTGTTATGGAGCTCTTCCACTCAGAGTATTTTTACCATCACAGTCTATGGGGTTTTGGGGTTGGCAGGCAGGAAAGACTATTGTATCTAAATACAGCTCCCCTATGTCCTGCAGGCATGCTATAGTCAAAAATGAATAATGAGTACTTATCCTGAGAAAACTCCAAAGGCAAAGAATTGGTCTAGTATTAACAGAGTTCCCTTATCAGATACAGACTGTTTTTCATCATGCATTTCCTTCTGACAGCTGAATGTCCCACTTTATTTTCAAGCTTTCAAGTCTCCTTCCTCATCTGAGTTTCTGGACAGATATTGCTTGTAATCATCTAAAGTAGCTCTTCTGCAGCACCTATTTCAAAAGAGGAGCAGCTTTTTCCCCCCTCATATAAAACTTAGTTTGGTAGGAGAAATGATGTATTTGTTCCCATTCCTTTATCTGAATATAGGGAAATACACCTTCCTTATTTGTTCTGCATGGCTGGGTTGCTTAGGTCTGCAGAAAAATAACATGCCAATCAACATTAATGTCCTTGATATTTGCCGCTGACTGCAGCATTCAATACCTGCTATGGGAATCTGGAAAGGATATAGCAACTGTGTTCCCCTCCCCTTGTGCCACACTGGTTTGCTGCTGGGAAGTTCTACTCATGTTCCTAAATGTTCTCTTTAAGACACATGAAGACTTCTTGAATAATTAGAGCCTAATTTTCAGAAGTTCTGAGCACCCAAAACTACAACTGAAGTCAGTGGGAACACCAGGTGCTCAATATCTCTCAATACCAGCCCCTTAGTTTCAAAAAGTTTGGCACCTCTTCCTCTGCAAAAGGAACTGAGAATTTAACTTTGCTTTCAAATGTATACATGCAATTCTCATTTGAGACAGACGTAGTACTGGACACATATTTAACTGGTTGGGGCCAGATTGTGAGCCCCTTACCTACAGTGGCAAGCCATTACTCATAGGAATAGTTCTAGTGAACAACCTGGTCTTTGCTACTACAGTAATAAGCATGATAGAACACTCAAAGTTAGATGGAAAGAGTTCTCAGGGGAGAATTTGGCCTTGAATCTTTTTTTGTTTTTAAATCAAGAGAGTGCAAATTACAACTGTGTCCAGATCCCCTAATTCCCTGGTGATGAGCATGTTGCAATAGCCTAGACAGGCTTATTGTTCATCCCTTGAGTGAAAGTTGAAAAAAAAAAACAAAATAAAAAACTAAAAAAAAAAAAAAAAAAAAAAAAAAAAAAAGTCTCGAAACAAAAGAAAAGATGCCATTTTCCCTGTCATTACCACTCCTGAGATGAATGAACATATTTTCCTACTTCTTTTTATGGAATTTACTAGAAGGTCCATCCTTCCTCTCAATTCACAGCAGATGTGAAAACATAACTATTCGACCCTTAACTTTTCAATGCCGAAATGTTATAGAAAACAAAGGCTCCTTAACTACAGAGGTACATGAGCACAGATCATGATGCAATGTAATCTATGATCTACTAAAACTGCACTTAAACTCAAGAATATAATTAATGTAGCAAGGGTAATAGAAACCGCATCTCTATCAAATTAACTTTTTGAATTGCAAACAGGAGAGTAATTACAATTCTTCTTAAGTGGCACGTTGCTTCTGTAGCCTAATTTTCAATTGATATTCTTGTATCTGCCTGCATCAATCAAGAGTTATTCAAACAGATGTGTTCAGATTTCTTGGATCTGTTCAACTAAACTAGATTTACATCCAATCCAACATATTTGTAATATTTTGACTGGATATAAGGTTATTAAAACTCACATTCCAGGAACTTGTTTTGCAAGCAAAAAATCACATGAATTCAATGCCAGTAAAGCTTTTAAAATCTCAGTGTGAAAAACAAGGGAGAAACAGGAAAATACTGAAGAATTTACATCCTGGGTGCTATGTTGGAGTAAGGGCTTCTGCATCTGGCCTTTAAAGAAATAAGGACCTGAACCAGTGAATGTTGAAATGAATGGAAAGACTCCCCCTTGACTTCAGTGGGCCCCAAGTGCTTGTAGTTAATTCACTAATACAGCTATAATTTCCACTACACTCTGTCTCCCTTCTTTGTTAACGGCAAAAAAAATTCCCTTCATCCAGTTCTCCAGCCAATTCCCAGTTATCCACACATTATTACAAATTGTCCAAATAAGATCACTACTGCACTTTTTAACAATTCTGCAGGCACATTATCTATCCCTGATGCTTTCTCAGGCTTCATTTTCATAATAGCATACACCACTTCCTCTCAGAGGATCGATGGCTCCGGCTCCCAGGCTCTCTTTTCTGTCATCCTGCATTATGAGTGGCTCTGGTAAGGCATAGAGATTGGCACAATAATTACTCCACCTGAGTTTAATATCATCAGCGAGAATTCCGCCATCATGATCTCTTATTATATCTGATCACAGGGAAAACCTTACGGTAAGAAATCTTACCACTGTGAACATACCTTTTGGATTATTACTCTACTTTAAAATTCTCAAATTCCATACATTTTCGCTTCATATTTGCTCATCTCACCTAGAGTGCCTCTGACTCTGTGTGCTCACTTTCTTACATTCTTCCATCTCCAAGCCATTCTCTTTCACTCTGTCACTTTTTTGCCAGTTCAAACAGATTCTCAGTTAACCATGATGCAGTCTGATGCTGACTTTTCAGAAAGTGTGCTTTGGTGGTTTCAACAACAACAGTTTTCATTTTATTCCACAGTTTGTAATCACGTCAGCAAAGTTCTGCTCTACATAATTCAGGATCCCAAGAAATGACAAATACAAACAGAACTATCACTGCAACAAACTGGTTTCAAAGACGCTGAGGCATGCATGACCAAATCATGAATACCCATCACATGACTGAAGAACACAGAGAGTACAATCACCCATTGATCATGTGCTTTATTGACTACTCAAAAACATTTGATATTGTCCAAAATGACTATCTTGGGAGGACACTGGCAAACATGAAGTTTCCAAAGCATCTCAGTGAACTCATGACAAGTCTCTACCGCCACCAACAGACCATGGTAAGAACAGCAGTTGGAGACAGCGAGTGGTTTTCCACCGGTCAGGGTGTGAGACAAGAGCATACTTTGTCACCAAGTCAATAAATTCCGCATACATGTTAAAGAGAGAGACAAGCCTTGAAAGGTTTTGACAAAGTGGAAGGAGTTGGGATTTCTATGGTGGACACCTCTTAACCGACCTCAGACATGCTGATAACATGACATTCTTTATTACAACCACCAATACAATACAACATATATTGGAATCTGTAAAAACAGTTAGTGAGGAACACGGACTATTCCTGACCATGAAGAAAACAAAATGCATGTATGTCGACATGACTACCAAAACAGAATGCAAGAAGACATCACGATAAATAGACAAACTTAGAGGCAGTGGGTTAATTTAATTATCTGCGATCATATATATCCAAACAAGGAGGCTGTTCCAAAGAAATCAGAAGACGACTAGGAATGGCTCATTCAGCTATGGCCTCCCTTAAGAAAGTGTGAAAAAAGTAGTATCTGGAAATGTACAAAGGTGTACCTGGTGAAAAGCCTAATTTTTTCCATTCATGGATGTGAATCCTGGAAAGTTAATGTTGCTGACAAAAAAAACTGAAGTTTTTGAAATGTGGTGCTGGTGAAGACTTTTGCATATCTCCTGGATGGACAAAAAGGTGAATGCTTATGTGAGAAATATTATTGGACAGAAGCAGACCCTGATGCTGGAAATCGACACAAGCTTATGTACTTTAGTCACATTAGGAGTAGAGATGGAAATAACCAAGAGATAGTCATAATGGAAGGAATGGTGGTGCATCATTGTTGTAGGTATGGCTAGCAAGGAGATGGATGGATGGTGTGCAGCAATCACTGGTAGATCAGCTGCTGAGTGCTCAAAGTTAGCGATGGATCATGAGGGCTTCTGAAAATTCTGCTGCAATGTCACCGATATTCAGACATGAATAGCTGGATTTACCTACTTAATTTCCATTAAAAACTGCCTTTGATATATTGCACAATATTATAGACTAATATTCGGCCCTCAGTTACATCCATGCAAAACCACTGAAGTCATAGGAAGCTGTCATAGGTGTAACACAGCAGTGTTTGGCCCACTATATTAATAAGCAATGTACAGGGAAAATGTTAAAGAGTTTTATAAAAGGTTTATCTTTAGCACCATAGTTTAGAATCAAAGTGCTGTAATTTCATGGCATGAATAATCTTTGGTTGTCTATTTCTCACCCAAATCATTGTAAGAATATTGCACTAGCACTACTGAGGCAGCAACTTGTTTAGAAACTGGCAACAGTTAAATGTCAGGAGAGGTAGCTTCTTTAATAATATACATTTACAGGAAAGAGAGAACACCCTGTACCTTGTTGTCGGTGCTTCATTAACTGGGTAATGAAAAGAGTACAGGAATTCACCCATGAAGATGCCAGGTTAAAACATGGCTCTAAACTACATGTGACCACAAGACTACTTCAGTTACATCTGCAATAGACACAAGATGGAAGTTAAGCCAATTATACAGTGATAGTAAGGTTTAATAAGCATGCTAGTAAAACAGAATAAAACTCTCACTGACTGATATCCTGTCTGCAGGATTAAAGATTTAGGCTGAATTACTGTTTACCGAAGGTGTATAACAGTAATGAGGATTGGAGTATGCTGACCTCAGAAAGGTACAGGAATCAGTCTTCTGGGACAGGAGAGCATGGCTTACGGCAGCTAACTAGCAATGAGTCACACCTTGATATTGCACCAAGAAAGAGTAGTATCCCCCCTCTGTCCCCCCCCCACACACTTTATTGCACACTGCCAACTTCAGCCTATTCTCAGCAATGCACAGCCTGAACTCAAGGTCAGACTGTCACATTTCACTCCCTTTGGCTGCAATATGTAAGGGCAAAGAACAGTGACAGGTCCCCCAGTCTAGCACTATTCTGAGTGCCAGACTGCCATTCAGCCTTGCTATTTCAGCAATGAGAAGGTGAAGGTGTCTTTAATCTTAAAAATTGAGTAGTCAGTAAATGTTCCTAGTTTGTGCAAGACAAAAATCATTCCATTACTCTTCATTACAAGAGACATCAACTCATCTTAGATATTAATTCACTTCTGTTCTACAGAGATATAAAAATGCAGCATAACATAGCTGAGATTATAGAAAATGTTAACACTAAATGAATCAATCCTTCAGTCACTTTAAAAAGGGATTTATTTCTCTCTATTGACTATCAATATAGGGCCAGTGCTTGGAAAAATTTTGTCCTAAAGGTATTTGCACAGCCCTTGCCAAGCGTTTCTAGCTTTGGCTTATTGCAAAATGATGGACATTAAAAAAAATCACATTATTTTGATTACCATGTTGCTCTTTTTCCACTTCATGTCTTACATGATTTTACCAGCTGCTATCTCAAGAAAATTTAGAGCTGGAAACTAATTCTTTACACCATCTGAAAACTAATGCTTTATGCCATCTTTTAAATGGCATAAAGCATTAATCGCTAACTGTAGAGGTTTTTGAGTCATCAGCTGCTAACTTAAGGATTCTTTAGATGGATGAATACCATTATGAGTAAAAGGAATAAATGGAATGTGAATAACATAACATTGCCATTGCCTGTTTATTCTGTGCTTTGGTAAAACATGTTTTTTCACACAGCCACATGCTCCACTGAAATAATGCAACAAAATGCTATCTACTAGAATTTATTTGATAATACTTTCCACTCTGCAATAAATCAGTGTTCTTGGTGTAGAGGGCTGTTTTAAGATAGATTCTTAATATTGGTATAATGCAGTTGTGACCGGAATCCCAGGGGAGCCAGTTGAGGTCACTCAACTGGGGTGCACTGCAAAAAATGGGGCAGGCAATCCCCAAAGCTGGTGGATATTCCAATACTTACATTTACCAAGCCAGCACAAAGCAGCTTCTATTATACCTCACTGGTTACTCAGAAGTCAACAACACAATTCCCTTAAAGTAACACAAGCTCAGGCCTCCACCTAGACACCCCAGTCAAAATGATGAGGATTACTGAAAATCTTATTCATCATATTAAAAAGGTTCTACCAATCCCAAAGGATCGGACAAATCACCTCTCAGGTTAATGAATATTCCAGACCTTTTCCAAAAACACACTTACAGCCAATTCTTATTAACTAAACTAAAATTTATTTAAAAGGAAAAGAGAGATAATTGGTTAAAAGATCAGTGTATATACAGACATGAGTCAATCTTGAGATTCAGATTCATAGCAGAGATGGAGAGCTTTGTAGATGCAAAGAGTTCTTTCAGAAATAGTTCATAGGTTATAGTCCAATGTTTGTATTCAGGGTGGTCCAGTCAGAACTGGGACCTCAGTCCTTGTGGTTTAGGTTTCCCCTGCATGAAGCCTCAAGCAGATCTGAGATACACAGGAGGAGGACCCAAGCCATTTTTTACATAGTTTCAGGCCTTCTTTGACAGGTTGGAGTCCCTTGGCAAACAATAGACACATTTCCTAAGCATCACCAGTAATTAGTTCATTTAAATGTTAAGATGTTCTGTTGATCTCTGAATTAATAGAATACAGCATAGACAGGGACTGTTTGATTACATTGTTGACCTCTACCAATATATATGTAAATACACAAAAACACAAACATTATCTCCCATATGTTTTTAAGGGTTGAATTTGAGTCATTTATCCTGCAGGATGCTTAACACTTTCTGGTCATGAGTCACAGTAGTATGTGTGTGACAATTCTAAATCCACATGTATTTTTAACAGCTGCCTACCTGATCATTACACTACAAAAAAAGGGGTTTTCTCCACATCCTGAATTGATTTCTCTTAATAAATCTCTGTTTGCCTAAACCACACATCTAAATTAGATTTATCTTTATGAATCAAGTATGGTATCTTCTCCAAAAGACATGCATTACAAATGGGTGGAAAAAATGTCTCTAGACTATACACGACTACTGTGTAAGTATTTTTTTCATGAATAGGGCACTTCATCTTTCATCTACTGCTGAGTGGGTGAAAGGAAACATACACAGCTGCATCCTGAAAAGACAAACTATTAGAGTCTGTCATTAAAGTTTCTTGTAAATTCAAACAAAAATTAGTCTACCAAAACTAATCATTGATAACAAATGATAACTTTGTATTTTTTGCTTTAATAATTTAAAAAAAAGTGTTCCACGCTCAGCAACAACTTTTACAAATTTTCAACAACTTACGTTTTTAAAATATTAACACAAGGTATAAAAATCCATCTAATTAAAACACTAAAGGATTACACACTCATTCCATAGATAGATAGTTGATTAGTAAATTACAGTCCAAGGATTGGACTAAAGCAAGGTCTAAATATTCATAAGAAATCACAATAGGGAAGCTCCTATTTTGGAATGTAAAAGTAATGTGGTATCACTGGATGAAACCCAAACCGCCTGCAAATAACTTCTGGCTACAACCAGAAGCAAACCTTTCCTATGGAATATGTGGCTTGCAAAGTCCTAGACAAAGTGTTTCTATTCCAGCAGTCATATGACATTTATTTCCAACGTCTCCTTCCTCATTCAACAACTACACAGCAATGAATCTAAGGCTTGAACTCTACCACTTTTCTCTTATTCTTTCACCCATCCCTTAACAAGTGTAATGACTTTATTGACGACTTTATAAAATACTACTACTCTCAATTGTCTCCATATGGATATGCTTAGTTCGTGTCACAATTAGTACTTTTCTATGCGGCTTATGCAAGAACTAAGTGTCACTCACACTTGATATAGTACCTACGACACATTCATAAAAACAAAATCACAGTTTAAAAACTAATCACTACCTACATCATCCACTTCCACCAACACACACATGCACTACAATATACAACTCACCCTTTCACCAGCCTGTCAACATTCGGGATTCTCCAACATAGGACTTAAATCACTATGGATATGTCTACACTGTAGCTGGGAGCAAGCCTCCCAGGCCAGGTAGACAGACTCGCACTAGCAGGGCTCAAGCAGTGTGCTAAAAATAGCAGTGTGACCTTTGTGGCTCAGGTTGCAGCTCGGGTTCTCAAGCCCACTCAACCAGGGCCGGCTCTACCATTTTTGCCGCCCCAAGCAAAAAAAAAAAAAAAAGCTGCCTGGACTCTGCCGCCCCAAGAATGGACGGAATGCCGCCCCTTAGCATGTGCCGCCCCAGGCACATGCTTGGTCTGCTGGTGTCTGGAGCCGGCCCTGCACTCAACCCCCAAGACTTAAGAGCCCAAGCTGAAGCCCAAGCCGCAGCATCCACACTGCTATTTTTAGTGTAATATCAAACCTTGCTAGCATGAGTGTGTCTACCCGGACTGCTCCCAGCTGCAATGTAGACATACCCTGTGAGACCTGGTCTATCATACCTATAACTTGGTCAGGGGACCCAGTTATAACACAGCAAAATGTTGTAGCATACATGGGCCCTAACCAGGCCCCAGTAAATAGGTTAAAACTCAGAGAAGCACAGGACAGTCCATACCACAACTGTGTGATAAACTAAGACCCTTGACTTTAACTGTATGTTTAGTACAGACATGTCCTCTCCTCACTATAACTGTGTGTGTGCTTAGTATCAAACTCCTAACTTTGCATGTGAAAAGAATACAACCAATGATATCTGAACATAAATTATGATGTACATAACGTGGACTGCACATCAAACAAATAAGATAAAAACCTCACACCTTTCCCCACCAAAAATTCACATGGAAAGAAACCAGGAAAAAACACCAATTTTGCATAATGATTAATGAGCCAAGAAGAATTTGGCATGCACTCTCTCTCACTCTCTCTGCTGAAAAGGCAACATTTGCCAAAGCACAGCAGACAGTGTTAATTTGTAGTCAAGAGCCAAGCCAAAGCAAGCGCTTCAGTCGATTTTTATTATTGTTATTTTTCAACACAGGTGTTAACTACTTAATTCTTATTGTATTAGAAATAGAGACTGGCTCAAACTAAACCCAATCTAAATTATAAAGGGCTCAAGTGTGCTTTTAAGGCCCAGTCATGTATTGAGGGGGTGGAGAATGCCTCCCACCCCAAGAAGCAGAACGCTTTCTGAAGCACCATAGGGTGCAAAGGAGCATGCCTGATACTATGCTTCTTCAGGGCGTTTTGTCTACTCCTCCAACATGCTAACTGGTGAGCAGTAGGGAATGGGGCTGTGTCCCTGCCAGCTCCCCTGTTCCCTTTGGGGTGCGTCTTGTGTCTCAGGGGATGCATGGAGGAAGAAGTCACTGTGGGACTGCAATTTTCCCCCAGTATCCCATAGAAGCACAGGACACAAATCTTTCTGCCCTCTACAAACCCCACCTGCCCTGCAGAGCAGCAGGACACACTATGGCCCAAAGTGAGCAGAGGAAATGGAATGATCTCAGCCATAGGTGCTTATTCTTATATAATAGTTAACTGATCATCAGCTGTAGACATTCAGTTCTGTACAA